AGTCGCGGTTCCTACAGTTTCGCGACTAATGGGGCTGGACGGAAGCCTCTTTTTCTACCAGTGGTGTCTCTTGCTTTCTGAATATAAACAATGCGCTATGCATGACTAAATATATGAACTTGATGTCACATCTTTGGTTACACTCCTGTAATGTACTGATTATTGTTGAGATGGCCATGCCTTAAAGATCTGAATATGCTATACATATAATCAAATTTGTCCGATCTATGTACTGCGAAATAATGCAGTTCATAGATTTCTCTTCCGTTTTTAATCTGTATGCGGATGCGGATAAAGGCAAAAATGGTTGCAGGAAACAAATGGTTGCAGATCATATTTGAAACATCAAAATAGATGAAACTGCAAGGCATAGTAGTCGATGTTGATTAGCAGGTCATAACGTGTGGTGGATTGGATGACCTCAGTGTCTGACCAACTTTCATTGACCATACGGGGACAACAAAACATCCCTTGAACAGGTAAGCGGATTAGAGCAGAAGGGAAAGTCCCTGGCCTATGCTGAACTACTGTACTTGTACCTTTAAAAGTATCACGATGTTCTGGAAATATGGACCTCTTTACTCCCACACACAAATAAAGATGCTCCTTTTGTCATATAAATTTTGACTGATCTCTCTCTGTTTAGTGCCTGAAGCCTCGAACATGCTAGTCTCACTCCTGCGGTGAGTCTTGTTTTAACAACCCTGAACATTATTTGTAGATTCTTATGGACCACATAAAACAAAAAACAAAATTGCATGTACACAGCAAATATGAAATAACTTCAGAATTATCTTTCTTTGCAAGATTCAACGTACTCTACAGACCTAGAAACACAAGAAGCATTACAAACTTGCAATCCACAGAAAGTGTTATACAAGTAAATCATATGTAGGATTATTTATGTACTACACTAAGCACATTCTGACAATCTGAGTGTCACCCATTTACTCACTACATGAATTACTTAATCGTAGCACAAAACTCCCGAGAACTACATTCCTACTGTTATAGAACAAAGCAGAACTTCGAATCAAACCCAGCTATGTGCAACAATTAATAATTGAACCTATAAAATTTACTGGCATGTACAACAACAGGATACTAAGATGCGGTTAATTTGTAAAAAAAATATGCTTAACTGAAGATAAGGCAACCGGAATAAACAAACTGTGAGAAGGAAAAACAAAATTATATACCTATTACTAAAGAAAACTATCATGTAGCTTTCTTGGTGGGTAAGTGACTATGAGGATCAATGATCTCTGTATACTATGCAGTCTCTTGGTGGACCGTCTAATTTTGCATTTCACTGTGTTATCTTCAATTAAAATTGGTGGCGCTGCATATGAATTCCTGCAGTGTCCAGAGCCGCGCTCTGATCATCTCCTGTCGGTCCTGCAGCACCACTAAATTCAGAGAAGATTATTAGGTCCATCGAGATCCCAAGCGAAATACAAAGAATTTGAGTAGTAACATGCATGATGCATCTAGTAGAAATAAGTGAAGCACACCAATTTCTAGCTAGAAAATCAGAGAGATAAGTGGCTTTCTCCTGTGCGGACAGGGAGAAGCCGAACTGCTGGAGGTTCAATAGCTCCGCGGTGTTGTCGTCCCTCCGTTCATGCGGTCGTGATCCTCACGGTCAGGAGCACAACATACAGGATTTCATATTGTCGCTGCCCGCCGTGTCGATCGCCGCCTCCACCAATGCCATGGACCGTGACGCCTCTCGCCAAGGAAGGCCGCAGGCCACTAGGATCCGACCATGGTGGGGCATGCTCGGGGATGTGGCGAATGGAGCACCATTCCATCTCAGAGGAAAGCAAAGAGAAACGGATTGAAGAGCAGGTCGAAGCCCTGCGGCCACCATGGAGCACCATTCCAAAGCCAAACCGTACCGCCGTCCCTCCTGATGTTACACATGAATGATCTAAGAAGAAGGGCAGATAGAACAGGGCGACGTCCAAAGGTGCGAGGCGAGGGACACAGCATGTCCCACATACCGGGAGAAAGAGGGAGAGGCGGTGATGGCCCGACGACGGCAAAGGCATGAAGAACCGGCACTGGGGGGAGAGGCCACGTGCCTGAGGAGAAAGAGACTCAGGCGGCACTCCCCATGGGACAGCCGGACAGCCTTGCCAGCGAGCAGTAGGACGCCGTCAAGATCAACCTCACCTGCTCGCCTTTTCCGACGGTTGCGCTCCCAGCATGGCTTGATCGTGGTGCATGGAAAAGGAACAGAAGAACACAGCTTCGATGGAGATCGAGCAAGGGCCGTGGAGACGATGCTAATGGAGGGATGCCGAGGAGATCGTTTTATTGCTTGTAGAGCGCAGCGGCGGTGATGGATCGGTGGACAGTGGAAGTCTCCAGCGTCTCTAGATTGAATGATCGAGGCGGCACCGATCAGGAGCGGAGATGTCTCTAGATTTAACGATCAAAGCAACACCGATTACCAGGGTAAAGCGGCACTGATCAACCAGAAGGAAACACCGACCGAAGCAACAGCGGCAGCCACGCAGCGATAGCGACAGGATCAACCGATAAACCACCCGACGACGAATCGAAGGCAAGAAAGCGACCCGGGCCAACAGCGGCAGAGGTCGGCAACGACAGGACAACTGGGCCAACAGCGGCCGGAATACCCAAACCAATCACAAGACCGAAGAAGCTAGCATCGAAGTAAAAGGGGCTGTCAGGACACGAACTTCAGTACAAAGACTGGCACACATGCAGCAGTAAATACTAAACCAACCAAACCAAGGCACACACACGTTCAAAAAATTTCAAACAAAAACCTGAATCCACAAAGCATTTCTACCCCGGCAGGTACCAAATTAATAGCACGTGTCACATGCATAATTCACTAGAAGTCTTTTTCAAACAAGTGGAACAACCTTGAGGCAAAAACTTGGCCTGGAATAGATGCTTGGGTATTAGCCCATGGAGTGTGAGGAGCGCCAAGGCCGAAGGGGTCACTACTTCAAATGTTGGGCCTTCCTGGCCCAGGATAACCCGTGAGCGATATCCGTATAAAAGGCTTGTAGGCTGAGAATGGATCAAATGACCTTGTAACGTTCTAGTTTAAATACCTAGCTTCGTCTCCATCAGACCTGGGCAAGGAAGAACCGACCGTGGAGCCTGCCTAGTTGTATACAGACGTGTGGGTGGATTGGTGGATAAACACAACAACTCGCCATTTTCTCTCGATCTTCCTTGTCTCCAACTCTAGGGTTAGTTGCTACTTGAGCTAGTGCCGACAATATGGTATTCAGAGCGTACAGTTCTCGCGCGTCCGGTGCATAGCCACTTCACGCGACACAAGACCAGGTGTCACACGACGGGCATGGAGGAGCTATCAACTGAAGGGCGCCGGATCTACGACCTCCTCAAGGGTGGGTTGGATGAAGACATCGACCGCAAGCGGGTGGAGCAACGCACCAAGACACTCAAGGGGCTACGAAGGATGTTTGTGAAAATTTTGCAAAGCTCGATAGCCTCTTCACCAAGTTTGATGGCGTGCGGGACGACCTCTGGTTTTTCTTAAGATTTAGACCCAAAAAAGAAAAGGAAAAAATGCGTGAAAAATGTGCTTTATTTTTTTAACCTTCCACGAGGCACAGATTAATTTCTCATAGAGGCACGGATTTTCTTCCGCGAGAGATTCGGTTGTGCCTCTCGCAAAGGGAAAGAACACGTGCCTCTTCGGAAAAGAAAGAAAAACATGCCTCCCAGTTCGGGTTTTTCGTCCTTTTTTCGTGAAAAGATATCTATCGAAATCTATCAACATGGGATCTAGTTTTAAAGATCTCGACGCAAGTGACCCAACGATGAAAACGGTTCAATATTTGGACGCATGGTTCAAGAGATAAAATGTTTTGAGTAAACGAATCTACGAAAAAAGAAAAACTCCCAGGTTGCGACAAGTGGCGCATATGCAGCGCGCCACTTATCGCAACTTAGCAAGGTGAGAGAGATCTTTTTTTTGTGTCTAGAGGTCTTTTAGAAGGAGTACTCCTCAATTAGTGATCTCGGGGTATTCCCGAGAATTCCCTGAAATACCAAAAAATATGGGCCCCATAATGTTATGCGTTGATCTTTTGGCCCACGTACCAAGTCCAGCCCAAACTGCAGGCACGTAGCCACTCACCAAACCAGACTC